AAGATATTACTCCTAATATGCTGAGGAATACAGTTATAAAAGAAGTTAGGCGTCGGTTAGATTCAGTATCTACAGGGGGTGGACATATAGAGTATGTCCGTGGATTGAGTTTACAAGAGGACAAATGGACCAAAAAGTGAAAGATACGAAAAAAGGCATTTCTGATAAAAGTTTTGCTTGTTTAGAAAATACGAATCACCATGACGAACATCAATTTTGTTGTACAGGGTGGGTAAAAGACACAAAAATGATATATTGCGTAACATACCTTATTTTGCAAGATACGAAAAAAAGGAATTATTGATAAAAGTTTTTGCTTGAAAAATGAATGCGAGTCATGTCATCAAAAATTTAATTTTTTATACAGGGAACAAAGTACAAAACTAAAGTACGGCTTATCCAAGTGTAATTTTTAAATAATACGAAGATAATCACAACAATTAAGCTAAAAAAAGTAAACAAGGCAATATGATGAAGATATCAAAATTTCAAAAACACTCCCATATTGAACACATTTTTCTAATTGCTTCCTTGGATATCTGAAGGAATTTCTGATTTCTTCCTGGGATATTGAACGGACAGCCTTGGTAATTCTGCCTTTTAGCATTTCAATATTATTTGGTATATGTAAAATACGTCTTGTTTTTTGTTCAACTTTTTTGTTTTCTTTGTAATTAATTAAAGATATGTTTAGTATTTAAATATGTATTTGATATTAGTATTTCAAGCACTTCTGGTAACTTGCATCATTAACAGTGTCATAGCAAGCCTTGTATGAAAGCTTTCAACGGCCTCCTACCATTAACGATGCAGTAAATTCTAAAACTATTATTATAAATCGTTTGTAATTATTATTTTTACTTATCATGCCTGTTAATGAAAATAGATAGGGAATTTTTTTTTTAAAGAAAAGTTCATCGGAATGTTCATTTTAAATATTTCAATACATAAAACTTTAATTTTTGGTGTAAAATGCGCTTCAATCCATGCCACTTGAACTCCATACTTCAAACTTTCACTAACATTTTTCGTTACCCTGTATTATCATTGGGGCGTCCAGTTTGGGACATCCTGTACATCGTCACGTTCTTCCTTATGTTGTCCTTCCCCACAGTAGGTACCATATTTTAAGACAGTAAGATATTTATTTACAAAAGGGAAAAGCAAATATAACATAAGCTGCGTGGTTATTTACATCGAATTATTTCCTATTTAGAATATCGGATATCCGCCAAATTTTGATTTCCTCGTATAAAATTTAACTTTTGACTTTTGGTGCGATATTGTCACGTCACATCCGCAGTGGCTGGTAGCTTGCAGACACGCTGAATGCTTTATTATATGGAACGATTTTAATTAAAAGGGTATAGCACAGTGTTGCGGAGGTGGCAATCGATTCACAAGCTAGACAGCTGTATAGATCAACAACCTAAAACGTGGTAGACTGCTCGACTACTGTTTCCTGGCTTTATAAATAGATGTACAGGGTGATTTAAATTATCCGACATCTCTTATCTAAATAATTATTAGAGAATAAAAAATTGACTAAAAAGTACTTAAATTAGATTTCTAGTAGATTCTCATTGTTAAAAAGACAATTTTTTCGCTTCCTTCCATATTACTCAGTCTTTTTTGCGAGAAACATACGTACTCTTATTCAGAAGAAACTCTGAAATTGGAGATTAAGTTTTCAGGGTCAATCTGTATTTGCTGTGTGCATGCATTGGTCCACGGCAGTCTCTTACAAGAATTGAAGTCATTTGGCCTGTACTGTTTCGGTAATTGATGTTTTTTTGTGGGGGAGTCTTTCAGTTTCATAATCTCTTCTGAAAAAAGAACGATATGCCCTTCGAAATGTTAAGAAGCTAAACCGACGTCGTGGCAACCAATCTGGAAATTGTTCAATTAATGACAACTGCCGAAAAATTGTAAATCAAGTTAAGGAGCTTCTATGAGAAGGAAATCTACTTCGTCTCAAGGAAACTGAACAAATACAGGACGAAAATTGACATGCCGGTGTCGAGACGAGTCATACCAGGATTTTTGAAGATTTTTTACTTTCAAACCTAGATTGCTTTAAGAATCATACATATAGCCAGAACGTCGATTCTATGAGAGACGATCAGAAAGATCAGGAGGTAACTAGAAGAAAATGAAAAGAATCTTTTAGATCTATATTTCCAATTTACCAGCAAATTAGATGGGAATATCCCCGACTTAGTGGACAAATTGAGTACAGAAAACGAACGAATCTAGATAATAGGTAATCTTTGTACAACTGTATGATGAAGCTACAAATGTGCTTGCCAAAGACCTCAATGCCATAATACCCAGGACATTTCTAAATGGAGAAATATATATGCTTTGGAAACCACATGCCGACAAGAAATCGCAGAAGATGCATCATGAAATGTCAAACCACATAATCTATGTAGAAAAAAAAGTCAAGCCATCAAAGAACTGAAGGAAACCACAACGGAAAGGAACTAAGAAATTACTAAACGCCCTATATACAAATAAAAGCAATCTTGGGTTCAACAGAATACATATCCAAAGTGGAGAACATGCTACAAAGCCCGGTATAAAAGAAAATCAAGAACAACCCAGTCAAGAAAGTTGAAAAAAAGTTGTAGCGGCCTCATGCCCAAAGTATCAATCCGATCAATATTGTGTTGTGGATCAGTATATTATCCACTTGCCCTGTACTTACCACATCAAATTAAATATCTAGTTGGAAAGACGGAACACCATGTCAAAAATGCTGGAGATTGAATTGACAAGATCAAGGGAAGCCAATTAGATCTAAATAATATCCTCGAGAGTTTTGATGAGACATCATTGTTCATAAAAGAAGAAGAACTCATCGCAGATAATAAAGCTAAGAATTTAGTGGACTTGGCAAAAGTGTGCACCAGATGGACCTACTTCTTATTAGGGATCAATTTTATGAACAAAACCAAGAAGCAGTTATGAGTTCACCCTTGTCACCAGCTGTGACAAATATTTACAAGGAAGTCTTCAAGTGGAAAACTCTGAAGCTGCTCTAAAGCTAAAGTATTAACTCAATTATGTTGAGGATACATTTATTATCTGATCCCATGAATGTAACAACATAAAATTATTGAACTACATCAATGAAATATATGTGGACAACAGCTTCACCTTTGTTTGGACAAAACCCTATCACGTAGTGTTGATAGAAAAATAACCTACTGTTATAGAAGTTAGAGATGCATAGAGGTATCTGAACGGTGGTGTCTCATCTTCTCCCACCAGCCCAGAGAGAACAAGGAGAAAGAGGATTATTGAATCAATTTCAATACAGACGAGTGGTTAGAACTATCTATATTGGGGTTTAAAATTCTTTAATGCTCTCCCTGACTATGTAAGGATTTGAAATATAAATACTTTCAAAAAAAGAATTAAGAATTATTTATTGAGAAACGCTTTTTATGATTTTAATCAGATTTTATCAAGTGACTTGCACAATATTTAATTTGTTAGTTTTAACTATTTGTTGGTTCTTATCATCTGTACCTATCTACATGTATTGTTTTATATGTTTGTAGTATTTTTAATGATATTATTAGTCTGTAACTATTTTATATCGATTTTACCTATCTTTGTATATTTTCTATTTACCTAGTAAGTGATCTCAGCGTACTAAATTATGTTCTTTTCCTTTTCTTTTGACGTGTGTAAACACTTTGGTGTGTATTGACATGAATTGAAATAAATAAATAAATAAATAAATAAATAAATAAATAAATATCTGGAATTTGGAATTAACTCTTTCGCAAAAATCAAGAATGGGAACGACAGGGGCCTTTGACTATAAGCCATGCACTGGAACGTCTTGAATCAAAGCAAATATAAATAAGAGCCAGAAGACTTCTTCAGTTTCAGTGCTTCTTCTGAAGAGAGTGATGTTTTTCTCGAAACGTCAGCCTAAAACCAGCTCGGAAATTGTTCCACCATTAACAATGACTACAGAAGCCTGCAAACCTTTAAACTTCTACTAATTCAACACTACTGAGTAGATTTTGTGGGTAATACAAAGCGTGTAGTATTCCAAATGGTCACGCCTACTCAGTACCTAGACCTTCAATATGGCTAAACTGGCAGTGAGCGACCTACCAATCTACAGGTACTACGAATGGATAAATTTTGTCAAATTGCTGCATATACATAGATAGCAAGAAAATTTCACGGTATCCAGTTTAAAGTCGATATCTTAAATCGCTTTTAAAAGGTATGTTTGATATATCTATGAAGAATAAACTTTTTAACGATTGTTTTAGGAAAAAATGTTGCAAAGCAATAATTGTTCAATGCAGATCCAGAATAATAGTCCTCCCAAACGTACAGACTTACCTAATGCCCGCTTACTTGTACAAATAGATGTGTATCGTGAAACATGTGCAAAACTTGTCATATATGTATACAGCGTGTCCCAGAATATGTGGCCAACCTCTCGAATTTATACAGGGGACGTTAAAATAATATAAAATTTTCCCTAGAGTGCAGAGATATAGGCCCCTAAAGGATGCCTCTGAAAATCGATATTTTAAAATACTGTGTGTACTTTTTTAATTATTTTTTAATATGATGGATAACAGATAAGACTCCTTAAAATTGACCTATGAAAACAATTAATTTGAGTTATTTGGTTTGCCAGGGACGGACTAGCTGTAGCACAATAATGCCAGTGTTTTTACGATAAAGGCACAAAAATAATATTTTTAAATAGCTTTAACTTTAAACTAAAATAGGGCATGCTTAGTTGATATCGATAAAATGAACTTTTAATATTTTACTTATTTTTTTATTCCTCGGATATTTACCCATTTTACCATATTTAAAAATATTGCTGACAGTATGATAAAACATTTTTTTACATGGGCTTCAAATATCAAATTATTTTATCAATGATTTCCCACATTAATTTCGTCTTTGTCAAGTTTCATGTTTTTGAACAAATAAAAACAAGACACTCTTACCTTCGCAGCGGCGACAGGGGGACGGGAGTCTTCACCAGATCCAACAATTCCAAGACACTGGGAGGCGAAACACTTTTCACCACGCTGGCGCCCCTTAATTCCCTCAGTTCAACCCCTCTGAAGAGCTCGCACCTGACAAGCTCCTCCAGGGTAGGAGTCCTGGAGCTCTGAAAGATCAGTTCCAAAGCGTCGGCCACTTTAGGAGCTCTCTCTAATTCCAATTGGAGATGGGCGGGAGTCGGAGGTCCTGGGAGTTCGTAACCGGACGTCATCTCGAAGAGGAGATAACCGAAGGAGAGGGTTTCTGGCGCTGACGGGGCCTTGGGAAGGAGTCCTAGTAGGGGGTTTTCTAAGCCAGCCAGTCGCGCTACGCCATTTTGAATTATCACATTGCCTAGAGAAAATGTATAAAAATTTAGAAAATAAAATGAGGGTCGTAAATATAGAAAATATTGTCCGTAATTATTTTTTTGTGGTACTTTCAGTATATTCTATATATTCGGGTATTTCTGGCATATTGAAAGAAAAAAATTTAAATAACCCATTTCGCCAAACCAGTTGAAGAGTCGATTTTATAATTTGTCTATTCAGAAGTTTCGTACGTTGATAATTCTTCACGATCTCAATTTTCAGATTTAAATGTTTTTGCAGTGACATTAAAAAAATTTATAATTTTGATTCTTGTATTTTTTTCCTATCTTGAAGTAAAACGAAAATAATATGGGTGTGACTTTAATATAATAAAAATGTGAATAAAAATTTACTCAAGTATGTAGGAAAATGTGTAAGCCAATGACTGAAAAATTATGACAGACTTTGATTGACGTGTTTTTTTTTTATAGTAGTATTTAGTACTTCCGGTACTTGTTACAAAAAAGTCGAGTACAAATAAATGAGGTCAAAATAATATCAGTTCTTCATATAATTTTTTTCCATACGGGCCTTCTTTAACAAGTTACGGGCTCTCAAGGTGAAAATTAAAATGTTATTTTTATTTACAGTCTCTAAAGTATTAACAGTATGATGCAAATTTGGTGGTCGATAACACATGCGTATAGCTTGTTTTTTATGATGTAAGTGAAAGTTCATTATGCCCAGAATGCCAGGGACGGACTATGCCCAATGGTTAACAACCCCGAATTTTTGCATAGTGACGATCGCAATCTGCCTGTATCAAAAATAAGTACCCTGAAGAATTTGCCACGATACCTAATATCCTCTACGTTCAACTGGGTAAAGTTAACAGTATAAGAAATATTTGTGATTTTATGTCACAGTGTACATCGAACGGCGTTCCACCATTTTTTGTTTTTAATTTTTATTGGATATAATTACTATGTTAAAACCGTACATATTTTTAAAATAAGAGTCTAAATTTTCTAAATTTTACTGTCTGCTAATGTAATTTCCACTATCAAAATTTGGCAAACACCACTACACATATCACAAAAATAATTTAAAAGAAGAAAGAAAAGAAAGAAAACTATTAAAATGCATTTTCAATATGGGCACTTTCCACATTTCCTAAGTCTACGAATGTTATTTGTTTGTACACGAAAAAGCATTTCTGGGGTATGTCTAATATTATCACAATGGAAATTAATTCTTTGTAGCAACTCATCCCTTATCTCTACTGGGGTTGCGTAGGTACACTAAACTTTTCAGGTATTCCAATAGGAAAAAGTCCATCGGAGTCAAGTCTGAAGAACGTGGTGGACATGAAATTGGGCCTCCTCTTCCAATTCATTTTTTATTAAACACAATGGATACATAATTTCGTACATCAATATTGAAATGGGGAGGGGCCCTATCGTGCGTGAACCAAATGTTTCTTCGAGTATCTAATGGAACATCGTCTAATAGTGGCTGCAAATTATTTTGCAAATACTCCAAATTACGATTTCCATTCAGACGTTCGCCAAAAACGTATGGACCTATTAAATTATTATTGCGGAAATGCTTTTTCGTGTACAAACAAACAACATTCGTAGACTTGGGAAGTTAGTGGAGGTTCATATTAAAAATGTATTTTGATAGTTTCCTTTCTTTTAAATTATTTTTTTAACTTACTTATTTACCTATTCTTGTTTTGTTTTTCTATTTTGTATCATATGTAAAGTGTGTTTGTCAAATTTTGTTAGTGAGAATTATAGGCTCTTATTTTAAAAATATGTTCTGACATAGTAATTATGTCTAATTAAAAATTAAAAACAAAAAATGGTGGAGGCGCCGCTAGATGTGTATTGTGACATAAAATCACAAATATTTCCTAAACTGTTAATTTTACCGAGTTGAACCAAGAGGGCAAATTCTTCAGGGAACTTATTTTTGATACAGGCAAATTGCGATCATCTATGCAAAAATAATGGATTGTTAACCATTGGGCATACTTCGTCCCTGGCATTCCGGGCATAATGAACTTTCACTTACAACATCAAAAACAAGCTAAGTGCATGTGTTATCGATCACCAAATTTGCATCATGCTGAAGTTAACAGTTTAGATACTATAATTAAAAATAAGTTTCTAATATTCACTTTTGAGGGCCCGTAACTTGTTAAGGAAGGTTCGTATGAAAAAAATTTATATGAAGGACTGATATTATTTTGACCTTATCTATTTGTACTCGACTTTTTCGTATCAGTATCGGGATACCCTGTATAAAGTTTTTTTGTAACTGAAAATAATACACCAAAATACCTGCATGAAGATGATATATTGGGGGAAAATATCGGTTTCGCAAAAATAGAAGGCCTTCAAGTATTTGTCGTCCTAGGCACTGTACCTACAAAAATAATACAAATTTAAAAAACAACATATGGACTAATAAAAATTCAGTAAATTTTGTTAATACAAAATCCCAAAAAGTCAACTCACACGCTGTCAGAATGAGCACGTAATTTTTAGCATCAATACAATTATTAACTTGCAACCACAGGTATTAACCATTACAAGTACGGAGAGTGTGTAGCTGAGACTGTACGCAACTTACGTGGAATTTTCGGTAGAAGAAGCGTCCGAATGCAACAACCGAGAAAAGATAAGCTGCCTTTGAACAAACAGGTTCGGTTGTAGACAATAAAAAGACAGGCTTCGTACTGGCCATTCAGCGGAAATATTGCTACGGTGAGTAAAAGTGTGGCGGAAATTCCCGTAACCTCAGTATTATTTTCACAATCTTCACTGGCTCATCCATCGTATAGCGTTCCATTTTATATAAACGCAACGTGTTTATTACAATATGTTACCCTACGCAATGCTGCCAACTCTACGGAATGAAAATGGCGCACAATTCAAATCCTCCGTTACTTTTGGGACACCGCTTACTTGTTACTTTCAGTAGATTTAGTAGATGTTACTTTTCGATATACTTAACCAAGTTACATTTACGTAAATGGGAAAAACCACCACCAGCAATGTTGAAACTGTACAATCTGAAATTTTAACATGTAGCTACACATTTCTTATTTAAATTCGTCATCACAATTGGAGAAGTTCATGAAAAATGCTTGACTGAATTTTAGGCTGAAAAATTGAACGGAAACCGTCATAAAAAAGCCCATAGCATTGATTAGGTTATTGTTGTTTCACTTACTCACTTTATGACATAGGTTCAAGCTTATTAATGAAATTTTCGACATTATGAGAGCTAATAAATTTCCGCCGAACAATTAGTTAAGTACTTTATTCACCGTCACGTTTTCCATAGCCCATATATCAAACATACGCGTATGACAGTCTGCGGGTTTGGAGAGGGATTGGAAGTTCACAAATATTGTCAGAGCCTGATAACAGAATTAATGGTTAAGTTTGATATTAATATATAAGATACATATATAGAAAATAAGGAATAGTAGAAAAGAAATTAATTTATTCAATTTATATCCGAGCCTCCCTTAAGAATAGTAACGAGTGGTATAGTAGGAAACAACTACTCACTGGACTACAGCACCGTACAGCATTGTACCCACAATATCTATTAAACAGCTAAAATATGACATATGTACTTTATAGATTATATGTCACCCTTTCCTAAAAAGTGTACAGCACTTTCACATAGGGATAGAAAATTAGTTTTTTATAGTCGCATCAAAAAGTGTAATTTATCAAAAGCTATGCTTCACGTCCAAGCTTTGAAATATCGTAGAGCTCTTAGGAACCGTTTTAGAAAAAATTGTTACTCTTTTTTTTCTCTTGCTTTGACGAGAGGAATCAATACTTAATATTTGCCGTAACTCATCGTTACACCCTATATACAATACAATGGGGGTATATGATATTTTTCAATTATTGTAATCCTAATGTATATGCTTTATATTTTTCGATTTTTAACATCTGCAAAGTATATTTCAAATGACGTAATCACACGTGGTAATTAGATATACATTTCTTTTCATGAAATTCGTATTTAAACATTTTGTTTCTTAATCCCGTTCTAATAAGACAATTACGTGTGCTATGAACAAATCATTCCAGTTATTGTTTCATGAAACAGTGGAATTAATTGTGAAAAAGTAATTTTATATAAAGTATTTTGGTCCACCCAGTACAACGGTGGTGGACGAAATTATTTTATTTATTATTTATTTATTATTATTAGTTTAATATGTTGATATACAGGGTGTTCTGAAAGTCCGTCCGGAAAATCCGGGAGGTGATTCTATGAATTAAAATAGTAACAGTATGTAATAAAATTTTTATTCGAATTGTCAATTGTAACTTGCAAACAGTTACAGCTTGTCAAAGTTCATTTTTTTTATTTTTATATTTAAATAACTTATTTAATTCAAGTTCGATTAGTCTCTTATTTGGCACAACCAAAAAGTTGATGAAGTTCTATTGGACCAGTCAGAGAAAAGTTTCATTATGCGTCGCTAGAGGGCACTTCACCTAAAATTCAAAATTTGTTTTGTTCATAACTTTTTTCTCTTGCTAGACATCACAGAAATTTAAACATTATTGAAAAGAAAAATAATATCAGAAAAAATTATGTACTGTTAATTCAAGTCGATAAATGTAACTGTTTAGCAGGAAGACACCGAAACAGGAATGGCTGAAAGGATAGAAGATCCTGGAGAACCACAACAGACTCAGTGGGAAACGATGGTACATCTTGAATTTACAATGTTCCCTATCTTTTTTTTAATAGCAGGTAATTTGAAATCGTTTAAAACATTTTAAATGTACATAGTTTCTAACCAATCTAATTTCTTTTAACAATAAAAAGGTATTGAACTGTAATTTAAATAACTGGACTGATATGTTACTACTAATCAGCACAATTGACAATATTGTAATTAGGATGTAACACAAAATTATAACCATTACATCTAATATCAACTATGTATATTTATTTCTTTATGAATACTTAAGTGTATTATATCACACCACAATTGAGTCTCAAAAAGAGTTAAAGAAATTTATTAGCAACGTAAATATAGTGATAACGGTGCACATTTTCTGTCCAACTGCAGTAAACTAATTTTAGATAATTCCTTTCAAATTTAGAAGAGCTAAATATATATAACGAATGTCCCACTTAACATGAAGCTCCTTTTTTATCGTTTAAATTTACCCCAAAAAACAGAGCTTAATAAGTTTAATTTATGAGCAAATATTCACTCTCCTTAATCAAAAAAATATAAAAAAACATAGTACCCAGACATTTTTTTATCAGAACGTTGTTATACAAGGTATTTAAAATTAGATGCAATAACATTGCTGCCTCGAAAACATTTCAGACAAATTGCCGAGTTTTTATTTAAACAGCTATACAAAAATATAAAAGACATTTTTAAAGTTATTTTTGCTCCCCTATTCCATTGTTCAACCAAATTTGACATTTTACTTAAATCACAAAATGACAAACATTGGAAAAGAGTTACAGTTATAAATGGAACACTCTGTATACCATTTTTTTTATTGTTATTGTGTACTAGCACTAAAAGATTATTTAATTAATGTATCAAGCGTATGCGAGTAAGTTCTCACAAAACAAATATTTGCTAGCTGTGCTGTAAAGATAATCCACTAATACCATGATATAAAAAAGGATTAATTAATTTTATTAATTAATTATAATTGTCATTATAAAGTCGCGTGATGTGTAATTCAAGAAGTAACAGTAGGTATGTTTTATAATCTTTTTTTGACGAATTTCTGGAAGCATTTTCTTGTTTTTTGTTAAATGAAACAAATTGGGCATAAAACAGTCCGTGCAAAATTAAATTCATGGAACCCTATTCTAATGTACCTTGTTCCTTCCAATTCATTCTTGCGTTGCGGATTTAACGATCGTTTCTCATCAGGTTTACCTTTATTCTAGAGCATCTTTCTGTTCTCATAGTTTTTCCCTTATGTTACTGGCTGGTAAAGCGGAAATAGATATTTTTTGCGGCTTTGCCAGAATGTTCGATTTTATTAAAGTATGGCGGTATATGTACAGGGTGAGTAACGAGGAATTTTACATACTTCTACCGTAAACAGAGTATTAAATTAAGGGAAATATCAAATAACTGTTACAAAATACCTATTCGCCTTCTTTATTAATATACAGGGTCCTTTATAGATTTAGATAAAAAACTAGGAATTTTAAAAATGAATAGATAAGTAATGGCTATGTACTTGTCACACTTCTGTTGATTTTTTTTTAAATAAATAATCAATTCTGACTGAAACTGAAAATTCAGCATAAAATAGTAGATTTAATGTAGCTATCAATAGCTAATACTTTTACCTATAATTAATTCTTGCTTCAGTTTTATTAATACTGTCAAACTAAAACTACACAAAACAAAATGAATTCAAAAATCAAAGGAAAAAATTGAGAAGTTATTAAAAGTTACAACTGATTTTCAAAATGAAAGCTAACTGTCCCTATATTATCAAATGTGTTATAGATTTCCAGATGGTCTAAGAATTGGTTCTAATAAAGTTACAACAATGAATAATTCAGGAATGTTCATTTTCTCGCAGATAAAACTAGAAAAAACTTATCCAAACTACCATTCTCATTACAAAACCCCTAGACAAAAATTTCCGCATTTGAAGACCGATGAGGCAATTTAGATTAACAGAAAGTACGCCAACGCTGGCAACTAAATAAAATATAGTAGGTGATCCTTGACAGGTACATAGGTACGTTTTTTCTATATATAACATAAAACGGTAAAAACTAAAGTGATAAGAATTAAATAAAACGACAGTGAGAAAACCTCGGTACATCCTCTTCACAGCTGTTCAGTGCCATCCTTTCTGACGGCGCTGGTCCACCACCACCCACTTACATCTACCAGATGTGCACACCCCGGATATCACACTTTATAATAATACACTGGACTATACAGGGTGTCCCATAAGCACATGATCAAAAAGGTACTGCGACATTCTTTGGCTCAAAAGAAGACGATTTGACCTGTTTCATTAAGAAAAAATGTCTGGTTCCTCTGCTATTGACTGTTAAAGTTCTTGAAAAAAAAATATGTTTTTTGTAATATCTGGAGAATGTTACGATGGATTTTAATGAAACTTGCTGTGGACTTGTTCCTAAGTAAAACTCATGTTTTGATGAAGCAACCGCAACCGCGTCCATCTGCCTTGGGCTAGTGGTAAATTCTTGAGTGTCTCGGTACAAGAATTAACAGAAGTTTTTATTTGGTCGCTGGAACTAATTCATTTTATTTTTATTGATGCATCAGTCCTTTTTCGAGATTTTCGTGCTCTTGGTAAAATCTTGTAGCATTCAAGTGAAGCTAGAACTATTTGCAATTAAAAGTACTTTTAATA